GGAGAGAGAGCCAAAGAGATTTGGATAGAGAGAGTGAAAGGGAAAGAACAACAATCAGACCAGACCAACAATCAGAGAAAGATAGAGGGGGAGACATGCGGAGAGCAAGAAATAGGGATGGAGAAAGAGAGAGAGAGAGTGAAAGAGATGAAGTGAGAGAGAGTCAATCAGATAGAGAGGGAGAGCAAGAGTTAAAGACATAGAGATATATGATGATAAACGGAGTGGCAGAGGGAAACAAAATGATGTTGGAGTGAAAAGAGAGAAAGAGAGAGAGAGAGAATGGAGAATGAGTGAGAAAGACACTTGAGCAGAGAAATGTAAATAGACAGGTATCGAGTAAGAATGTTTGAGAGAGAGAGAGAGAGGTGAAGAAAGAGAAACGAGATAAAGAGAGAGAGAGAGAGAGATGTGTGAAGATGAATGGATGGGTGTGTGAGAGGCATGAAATGGGGAAGCCGGAGTCGACCGAGCGTGTGTCGGAGGTCAGGCGGAGGGGGTTGGGGATTACAGGAGGGAGAGGAGGAGAGGAGGAGGACGAGGTGATGGAGGGATGCTGTGAGTGAAACTGCAGAGGAGGACAAGGTCCATTAACCCTGAGAGCAGCAGAGTCACAGAGAGACACTGGGACAAATATCACGATGAAAAGACGGTCCACTGTAATAAAATGCCAAAGTAAATCCCAAACGATTAAAGGTGCAATCAGCGTTTTTTTTTTTTACATCAGAACTCTTTATGTTATGTTTGGAAAAAGTCCCTTATGTTCTAACAGCTTCAATAAAATATTTGCTCCAGGAGAAAATCTGTTCTCTGCAACATCCCAGGATCTGTGAGGGTTCTTTGGGTGGTTAAAGGTTCTGTTTGGAACCTTTTCTAAAAGGCAAAAACAAAAATGATGTGGGCCACCAACAAATCCAACCGAGCAGGACGAGGAGGAGTTTCTGCAAACTTGCCTATCAATCATGTTCCTCAGAGGTTCATTGGATAATCAATGGTTCAAGCTTTCCAAAGAGGTTCCTGTTTGAACCTTCTGTTGAATGTGAACCATCTATTCTAGGGTTCTACATACAGTAGAACCTTTAAGGGTTCCCCAAGAGAGTCAAATTGAAGAACATTTGACTGGTGCAATCTTTTATTTTCTAAGCGTGTATAAACTGGAGACAAAACACAAATGATCTGGACCACCAACAAATCCAGCCAATCAGGACAAAGGGGCATCTCTGCAAGCTTGCCTGCCAATCATGTTACTCAAAGGTTCCTCGAATAATTGATGGTTTTAGCTTTCTACAGAAATTATGTTATACATAGAGCCATTAAGGTTTTCCTGGGGAGACAAACCAGAGAACCTTTTAAGGGTACTAGAGTGTGTAAACTGGAGTAAAAAAAACAAAAAAAAACAAATCCCAAATTATCTGGACCACCAACATCCAACCAATCATGACCAAGGGGCATCTCTGCACACATGCCTGTCAATCGTGTTCCTTAAAGGTTCCTTGGATAATCAATGGTTCTAGCTTTCCAAAGAAGTTCCTGTTTAATAGGGATTCCTCTGTAATAGGGATCTACATAGAACTGTTAAGGGTTCTTCCAATGAGTCAAATTGAAGAACATTTTAAGAGTATTTTGTTTTGGAGAAGAAACTATTCAATTACCCTGTGTGTGCGGAGTTTGCATGTTCTCCCCTTGCCGCGGGGGTTTCCTCTGGGTACTCTGGTTTCCTCCCCAGTCCAAACACATGCATGCTAGTCTTATTGGCGTGTCTAAAGTGTCTGTAGTGTATGAATGGGTGTGTGAGTGTGTATGTGATTGTGCCCTGCGATGGATTGGCACCCTGTCCAGGGTGTACCCCGCCTTGTGCCCGACGTTCCCTGGGATAGGCTCCAGGTTCCCCGCGACCCTGAAGCATAAAGTGGTATTGAAAATGGATGGATGGATGGACTATTAAATTATCTGGACCACAACCAATCAGGATGAAGCAACACCACTACAAACTTGCCTGTCAATCATGTTACCTGTCAATTCACAAAGCTCCATCTCTTGCACTAACATATAGGCAATCTAGCCTATACTCTTAACAAAAGCGGTTTCATGAAGGTTTTTTTTTTTAAATAATGAATGGTTCTGGCTTTCTAATGAGGTGTCTGTTTGAGTCCTCTGTTAAAGGGTTCTACATAGAACCTTGAAGCGTTCCTCCAGAGAGACCCTCTACCACCCTATATTTTCCAATTACCGATTAGCATATTAAAGAATGACACATTTTATTTTTATTTTATACTTGCTATGATAACAGTTCCTGATATTACCTACTGCACATTATAGCAGCTTGTCATGTTAGTCAGAAACGGCAAAGCCTTTTGTCATGAAGTCACAGCTTTACCTCTGAGAGATTCCTTCTAAAAATGTTAACCAACTCCAACACCCCCTCACCGAAAACTTCACCATATCAACAGTCGCACATGTATTTCAATCTGTTTATGTCTTCGGCATCTTCTTGACCAATCAGAATCGAGCGTTCAACGGTGATATAAAATCCACATATTTTTTGTTTAGGTGTTCTCTGTATTTCATACTTTGTATATATTTTTTTTATTACATTTATATTGTAATATCACCCCGTTTATTAAATATTTATAAAAGTTTTAAAACTTGTACAGAGAGTGAATGTGAAGAATGCAGATGACTACAGAAAAAAAAAAGTAATAAGACTGTTATGAGAGCAAATTAAATATTAATCAACCAAATTAAAGGGATTATTGAGAAAAGAGCAAAGATAGATGAAGGCAATGAAGAGCATTAAAGGGGCTGTATTACACTAAACCTCTCTGGTACACCACACTATGATTCTCTGGACATAAAGCCGTCAACCCGCTGTTCCAGACAAGCAAACAGTCGCTTATTACAGCGAGACATGCATGCAGGATAGAGATGATAGAGACCCGTGCTCCCTCCCATTGACCACTTCCACTTGACGAAGTTGGACAGGGTTGAACATCGGACATCTGCTTGTTCATGTCCAGGAAACAATGTCGCTGGAGGAAGTGAGAAAGGTCTGAATGGGTCCTGAGAGTTTCAGTGACATTAAAAGGAGGACAGGACATAGGAGTGGACATATGCCAAACTGCAGGAGATTAGCGCAGAGACTCTGGACACCTGCTTTGAGTGTCATCTGTCGTCAGTGGGAGGGTGAGGATGACGAGGACAGGAGGCGCAGGAGATACGAAACACAGGGAAAAACAAACAGCCGTGCCACGGTTCAAGGTCAATAGAGGTAAGAGCATGCTGGTTAAGTATAACATTGCATTGTCATGTACTGTAACAGCTTTAGTTGCTGTTCATATTAAACATCAGAGGGAGAAATGGAATTGGGAAAAAAAAACAAAACAACCCAAGCATTCGTTTCTGTTCTAGGCTGACAGGACAGGAACCCGATGTGATCTTCTGCTGATGACACTAGACACTTCCTGTCAGCTTGAGCCAGTCTGGTCATTCTCTTCTGATCTCTCCATTCTCTTTAATCTCCATGTTTTGCTGCGTGTGAAAATCCCAGATCAGCCCATCACAGTCAAGGTCACCGAGATCGCATTTTTCCAAACAGTTGGATGATTGGACAACTACACGAATGAACAAGGATGGAGATGATCCTATTAAAGTCTCCGGTGAGTGTGTACTAAAATATACATGACTTCCCTATGCATGCCGCAACACTTGCTAATTAGGTGATAGTTTCAGTTATTTTATAAAATATGTGCAACTGAAATACATCTTGTATTTCGTTGCTTTCAAGGCTTATTTTCCATCATCAAGTTGCTTTGGCAGGTGGAGGGACGAAGTGCACCTTGGCAAGAGAATGCAACATTTATCTCATCTCAGTTCGCTAATGAAGCGAGCGTGTACGTCTGTGTGTGTATGTGTGTGTCTTCAGTATTCTTGTCAAGGCCCCGATTCCTGTAACCTCCTTCCACAACAACGGCATACATTTGTCTCCCGTGGCAAAAAGGAAAGAAAAAAAAAAGCACACCCACAGCAACCGAGCGTTTGAGAAACACGAGCTTTGAAAAACAACCAGAAATTCACACACTCAGTGAGAGGAGTGCGGCTCACGCGTAGAGATAGAGGACTCTAGGAAAACATTCCTTAATCTGGGTCAAACACACTCACATTGTGGATCAACTAATAGAGCTTGCAGCGCCATAAATAAGATGATGCTCGGAGACGTCGCTGGAAAAAAAAAAAAATGGCCCAGATTTCATGAACTGCTGCCAATGTTTTTGTGTTATTAAAGCTAGGGCGTGCTAGTACCCGCTGCTTTGCACAACACATCTCACGTGTAAATTTGTCAATTATGAAAGGGTTCATCGGTGCTAATAAGACGCGTTATTTCCCTAGTGCATTATAAAAATCTCACAACTTAAAGCCTGTCTCTTGACTTACAGGCTGTTTGGAATTTCCAACCAGCAGGGCGTTCATCTGCCTTAAAGGCCAAGGCTAAACGTACAGTGTTCTCAAGCTCTAAGACATTGATCTAATCTCACACTGATTTAGCTCATTTCGTGTTATTAGGAAGGCAGATGGCGTGATTTATTATTAGCAGTATTATTATCAGATAATTATACTCTCATACAGCTTTTATTAAAAACATTCGTTGTGCAGTGATCATATCGGCACTGTGAGTAAGTAGCTGTACGGCTCCATAAAGGTTTTCTGTTTCTCGGCAGATCTCATTAACGTCTTGGATTATTTCGTGTCATATTTACATCCCGATTGCATGGTTAGTAGTTAGCACGCTAGCCACACCTCGAATCCTGTTCGAATCCTGCCTCCGCTCTGTGTGTGTGTGTGTGCGTTTGAATGTTCTCCCCATGCTTCGGGGTTTCCTCCGGGTACTCCGGTTTCCTCCCCCTGTAGAAAGACATGCACTGTAAGCTGAATGGCGTTTCCAAATTGTCTGTAGAGTGTGGATGTGTGTGTGATTGAGGCCTGTGATGAGTCGGCAGTGGTGGGGCAGTGGTGGCTTGGTGGTTAAGGCTCTGGGATAGAGGTCGGGGGTTCAAGCCCCAGCACTGCCAGCCTGTTACTGTTGGGCCATGGAGCAAGGCCCTTAACCCTCTCTGCTCCAGGGGCACTGTATCACGCCGGCTGACCCTGCACTCTGACCCCAACTTCCTCATAGGTTGGGGTATGTGAAAAAAAGAAGTTCACTATGCATATGTATGTCTGATCAATAAAGACTCATTATCCAGGGTAAGGTAATGAACTTAACTAGCTCACTATAACATCAGTCTCTTGGACACCAAAACATGAGACTGGGCTAGTTTATGAATTTCTGATTTGTCTAAACCTGCAGTAATAAAGATAAATCTCTTTTTCCTCTCCAAAATTCAACCTGTTGTAGGATTTTTCTGCCAGACTTGTATTAATCATATCAATCGGCTCTCTGAGCATGAAGCTGGCTAATTGCATGCCAAGTTAATACTTGGTTTCAATTTTGCCGTCTTTTCATTATTATTTCAGCATGAGTTTCCAGTTTTTAAAACCCAAAGCATTTAGAGTCGATGTATTTTCTCATTAATAGGGTCCCAGTATACCGTTATAAGCATATTGTTATTGGCTGAAAACAACAGAGATTGTATAACCGGGTGAATTTTAGTCGAGAGACGACTGGAGCAATATTCTTACTCCGTTTAAAATTCAGTTTCTATCAGTTGATATTAAATAAAATAAACAAATAAATACAATGAAATCAAATTGCGATGAAAACAATTCTTGGTTGTGGTCTGAGACTTTTGTATAAGGGTTTGGAGGACATCTGCAGATGTGTCTCACTGGGATTTAACCAGTGTTGGAAAGCCTGAGACAGCTCGTGCTTAGTTTCTGGCACACCAACATGCCAGACCTCCTGTCTCGCCAGCTGGATGCCAGAAGAGGCTTAAACCATGCTGTACATCATGTGGGCCTTAATTGGGCTTGAGTGGACAGATCTCGCCTAGCAGGAGATGGATTCAGAGGACAGAGCCAGGTAAGTGCATGCTAGCTACAGATGAGACGAACATGTTGGAGATGGACAGCTTTGTACCTATACTTAGACTCTGAGTTTCAGGATCCATGAAGGTTGGAAATGTAGAATTGCTTAAAGTGAGGAGCAAATGGAATGGAAGTAACACGAGAAGATAGGAAAGAGTTTCTTCCATTACATTTCGAATTATTTATTTAGCGACGACTTCAAAATGAAAAATGAGACCGAGTCCAATGCATAGAGCTGTTAGAGGAACCGAGACATGAGTGCTGCAAGACCAGGTTTCCACCAAATCACACAAAAATAATCAGAGATCCTTATTTCCCTTAGGCCTTATTTCATACACACTGGGCAGCACAATGGAGCTTTCACTTGCTAATATATGTATAATCTGTCAACCCCAGTTGACTCAGTGATTCAGTAAGGACGTCACTAAACTAGCTAGCTGCATTAGGATTGGTCCTAAAGTCCAGCCAGACTGTCCCAGTATAGGTGTCTTGGGTTATTTGTTCTTCCTGGGATAAAGAACCACGATTCCTTCCTTCCGCTGACCTAAATGATGTATTTCCACTCACAGATCATCCTGATTAGACATCTCGGAACTCTGTTTAGTGCTACTTTTGTACCAATCTAATGAATGAAAAAATTCATACCAAGCACTGACACAACATTCCATTCCTGATTGAGTGCTTGAATCCAAAAGCCACAAAAGTGAGAAAACTTGTGAAAGGGGCTATGCTGTTACCGCCTGAGTGGAATAATCGCTCTATACAGAGGTCCGAGTCAGACGTAATGACTAAGTTAATGGCCTGCGATGTGGGTCAGGATCATGATTACCTCGCTGTGTCAGAACCTGTTTGACTGGACATGGCACTACAAGAAAAATGTGTGCTACAAGAAGAAGAAGAAAAAAATGAAGAAACCCATGAACTGTGAAAATAGTCTTACTTACGCCTTTCAGAGTTAGATTATTTAAAGACTAGCTAATGCCAACTAATAGGATAATATTAAACTAAGAAAAGAATCCCCGATTATACTCAATTAACAATGTTAATTACTGTAATTGCACAATGTTCAACAATAATGATCGGAAAGTTCTCAGTATAAAGCACCAAAGTGATGGAGGGAGAATAAATATGCACAACGCAGCTACAAAAAAAAAAACAGAATAAATAGGAATTACATGATAAGTAAGGAATAAAACACTCTGGGTGCGCTGTTGTAAGGAAATAATCAATGACAGTGTGGTGTAATGTGGCCTGAAGTGAACTACTGACATTTTAAAGTTGTTTGTTTTCCAATAACAGCACCTCTTTTATTAATAAGTGTTTTATTCTTCTTAATACGTTGTCGAAGTCTTTGAAACAGGGTGGCTTAGTGGTTAGCACGTTCGCCTCACACCTCCAGGGTTGGGGGTTCGATTCCCACCGTGGGCCCATGATGCGGGGGTTTCCTCTGGGTAACACGGGTGAGTGTGCCCTGCGATAGACTGGCACCCTGTCCAGGGTGTACCCTGCCTTGTGCCTTGTGCCTGGGATAGACTCCAGGTTTCTCCGTGACCCTGAAAAGGAGTAAGTGGTAGAAGATGAATGGAAGACTTTGAAACAGGTTCATTCTGGTTCATACTGGACCCTCATCTATTTTTTCCTGTATTTACGTTAATACGACAAAAAATTGCAGCTTGTTATGTTACCGGATCACGCAAGCTCATCATCATCATCATAATAATAGTACAAATAATAATTATTTTATTTTATTATAACGCCTATTTACACACTCAAGGTCGCTTTACAATTAGAGATAAAAAGAGAGAAAAAAATTCAGTCTCGAAGACACTTCCAATTTTGGAAAACTGTTAGAAAGCACTGATACTGGAGACTCCTTCCACAAATGGTAAATAAACATCTTTTTTTTTTTTTTTTACCAACATCACTATAAGAACAATTATAACACACTTAAATTTAACGTGGATCGTTGTTACTATAGAAACGGTAACATATTTGAGCAAGCACAGTCAAATAAATGCTGAAGCACCTTCCGACCAATCAGAATCAAGCCTGAATCAAGACTTCAGCGTTTTAGTATAACACAAATAAAGAAGCCCTTTAGAAATCGGTTGAATTTTATTCAAGTAGTCTGTCAGTAGGTTGCAGCTTAAAAATTCTTGGTACTAGGGTGAACATTCAGACTAATTTAAAAATAATTATCATGCATTAACACAGCTCTGTGACTTTTTTTTTTGGTAATTATTATTCATTGTTCCTTTACCACACTAATGATGTTCTAGCACACTTTACAATGTAATCTCATTTTGCTCGTACCCCTCTTTTGATGATCTTGAAAGATTTCTCCAAAGTGCTGTGCTATTTCTGGGAACAGACCACTTCTTTGTAGCGTATTTGTCAGGAACATCTATCTGTAGATATTGTTGCGAGGGTTTTTTTTTTTTTTTTTTTACATCATGTTTAAGATGTGAAACTTTTCCTCTTCTTAGATGGTTCTGTCAAAAGCTCTTGTGAGCGTCTTGTCAGATGGCTTCTGATAAAAAAAAAAAAAAAATGTCAGGCAGCGACATTTCGATGCTCAGAAACACTGTTGTCCCTTTCTGTACAGAACATGCAGAGACGTTTAAGCCTTTACATCCTGTCAGGGTCAGAATGACCCATTTCTCTGCTCCAATTCTTCTAAAAGTGGAGCGATACATTACATTTACATTTACGTTTATTTACGCTTTTATCCAGGACGACTGACAAATGAGGAAATACAAGCAAAGCGATATATCGAGCGGGGAACAATACAAGTAGTGCGACCATGAAAGATCTTTTAATTGAGTTCTAGAGAAGCAAAGTGTGCAGAGTAGAGGTGTAAGAGCCACGGTAAGTGTTTTTTTTTTTTTTTTTAAAGTAATGTGGGGTTGGCGTTTTAGTGGTTAGTTATGTGTTCATGGACGAGGTCATGGTCTTTAACAGTTTTTTGAAAATATTGACTGATTCTGTGGTCCGGATTGAGGTTGGAAATTCATTCCACCACTGAGGAACAGATAGTGTGAAGATTCTGGAAAGAGACCTTGAGGCATGTGAGTAGGCACTACTAATTAACCGATCGCAGATCGCGTGAGGGAACGTAAGCCTTCAGGAGAGTGCTGAGGTAGGGGGGGTGCTGTTCCAGACAAGGTCTTGTACGTGAGCATCAAGGCCTTGAATTTGATCCGGGCTGCTAGTGGAGGGAGATGAAAAGCGGTGTGACATGGGTCGTTTTGGGCTGGTTGAAGACGAGGCGTGCTGCTGCGTTGTGAATCAAATAAAATAAAAATTTTCGTAATGACTCAAATGAATTTGAGAAAAATGATGCTTTCAATGTGTATATAATACAGTCATGGACGAAATTATTGGCACCGCTGGAACTTTTCCAGAAAATGTACCATTTCTCCCAGAAAAGTGTTGCAATGACAAATGTTTTGGTATACACATGTTTATTACATTTAAGTGCATTGGAACAACACAAAAAAGCAGAAGAAAAAAGGCAAATTTGACATCATTTTACACAAAACTCAAAAATTAGGTCGGACAAAATTGTTGGCACCCTCAACTTAATATCTGGTTGCACACCCTTTGGAGAAAATAACTGCAACCAATCGCTTCCTATAACCATCAACAAGCTTCCTACACCTCTCAACTGGAATTTTGGACCACTCTTCTTTTGAAAACTGCTCCAGGTCTCTCAGATTTGAAGGGTGCCTTCTCGCAACAGCAATTTTGAGATCTCTCCATAGGTGTTCTATGGGATTTAGATCCGGACTCATTGATGGCCACTTCAGAATTCTCCAGCGCTTTGTCTCCAACCATTTCTGGGTGCTTTTTGAGGTATGTTTCGGGTCATTGTCCTGCTGAAACACCCATGACCTCTGACGCAGACCCAGCTTTCTGACACTAGGTCCTACATTATGGGCCAAAATCTTTTGATAGTCTCCAGATTTCATGATTCCTTGCACACAGTCAATGCACCCAGTGCCAGAGGCAGCAAAACAACCCCAAAACATCCTTGAACCTCCAC